TTCCTGTTAACTCACATCATGTTTAGCGGTTGAAATGAACAAAGAACACCCTCACCAGTACCCCTGTTGAGTTTAAAGGGGCTACCCCCACATTTAAGAAAATGCCATAGGTTTGAATGGGCTACATGTTCTCTATCCTTGAACCCAAAGGGCGTCTAACGTGTGTTGATGCCCGCTGTGTTGTTACGCTTGCCAAGAAACATGGCCGCCGTACCACGTGACCATTTAGCTGTGACGTCATGTGAAATCTATGTATTACACCCGGGCAATGACCATCCGCACAAGTACTACTCACACAACTACCACTCCCCCACCCCCCGTACAGTAATGATGGCCCATCTACGCTACACATTGGACTTTTACCAACTTCATGAATAACCGTCTCAGGACATTACTCGTTTACTATTTTTAACGATTTTTAACTTTTTCTTTTAAAAAGTTACTGCCAGAAAAGTTAACTGAAGAAAAAAAGTCACTATAATGGATTAATGACGTACTTCAAGTTTTCTTAAACATACTAAATTTCTTTTTAAATATTCTTATAGATCTTCCTCTAATTTGAAATTTCACGAATCCAATGTCTCCCAAAATGACCCTTGAAAATATTCAAAAATTATTGTTTTAATTGGCAATTAATGAAAATTAATGTAGTTTTCAGATTATACGAGGCATTAACTTACACATTATAACATTCTAGAGGCACCGTAAGCTCAAAACAATATTCAAGCGAGGTGCGTGTGTATATTTTAAGGAAATATCAGTCAGTACTGATGTTGGAAGTAAAGAATGTAAAAAGAGATGCTGGAAAACTGGAATGCATTCAAAAGAAATTTGCCTAATGGGGACAGCAATTTTGTTGATTTAGGGGGCCGACTTATGCGTGAGCTGATTTATACTCGAGTATATACAAAGTGATTTCAGGGTCCAGGTGGTAATTGTCCTAGGGCGGTAATTATCCTAGGGGGATAGTTGTCCGGGTGGCAGTTGTCTTGGTGGTAGTTGTCCTAGGGGGCTAATTGTCCGGGGGGTAGTTGTCCTAGAATCATAATTGTGAATTCAGAATATATATGTTAGATTCACTCCACTTGTGATGGACCAGCTATTTATCCCTGAGTTGCTTTCTGAATATCTAGGCATGGTGAGATGTGGAATATCGTATTTGTTGGTCCCTATCACATTGTGAATTGCCATGCAGTTACCTCCAAAACCCTGTAACCTATTAAAACGATCATTGCGAGATAAAATATCACTGATTACACCAACATTCAAAACACCAATATTTTATGCAGTTATAGCATAGAAAAATTGATTTGACCACATCATACCAGCAATACATTTTTTCGAGTCACTACTTTCAAAAATCACAAATGGCGTCTCAAACAAGCGAACATAATTAAAACAAAGGGGCATCTATTTGTGTGTGATAAGTATTCTCGCTGGCGGTACGCAACGAGGATTTGATCCATTTCTCTCTCCGTCTTCGTTATAGTCCCTAGGACTTTTGAAGACTAATATTTATGAGGTTACAACTTACACTCTTGTTTGTGTTACGCTACTATGCACCTCTGTGTTTACATCTGACCAAAAATATCTCCGTGCAATTTTTGCATTACTGTACCCTTGTTGACGTCTCGCGGTACCGCGAGAAAGTGCGAGACATGACAGCGAAAATCAACAAGAGAACGCAAAATTTTAATCGTGCATGATTTTGTCTTTGCATGCGGTTCTAAGACATTTTATTGTTATTTCAAACAATTACTGTTACTCAAACAACAACGGTAGGCATCATGAGAGTGAGAATAAACACTAAAAAACGCTGAAAACAACTCTAATCGCTACTAACAAAACTACTCGCAATGATCGCTTTAATATGCTAGAGTTAGAGTGTACACTGTGTACAGATATCAAGGGTCAAAAGCCAAGATAAGCACGAGTATCAGGTCTGTTGCGGCATTCCACCGGAGTACGCATTTTCTTTTCGGTATCGCCCACTAGGGGCGCTTATGTTTTTGTAAACAATGCAAATGGCGGCGTGTTCATGGCAATGTGAATCTTCCATGATTGAATAATATATCAGACTGTTTCACGAGTACACACGTCTTCATTATTCAATGTGTTCAAATGATTAAAAGTAAGCACCGTCACAGTTTATTCAATCCCGCTGTGTACCACGCCAACGCCGAATTACGACAAGAGATGATCTGTAACTGTTAGTGCCGGTTCGGCCCGTAACCACACTGCACGCCGTTGATACGACACCTACGTTTAGAGAACGTTACGGCTGCATGGTTGCCACGCACCGACGTATGTTAGAGGACTGTCTTTGTTGTGAATTGTTGAATGGTCATCCTATGGACAGTTTATCTTACCACCGAAGGAGGGCGCCACCAAACGGTGTAAAATTATGGCAGCAGAAAAGGTCATACCGTCCCTGACTGAGAGCAGGCCTGAATCTGCCAAGGAGGCTAAGGCCGTAAGAGCTGTTTCGAAACGAAAGGTCACCATCCTAGTCAAAGAGGGCGCTGCGCTCTTAGGTTATACTGGCATGCCACATACGGAGTTTAAAAATCACTCGGAACGCATTAGACAACAACTGGACGACCTGCAAACGGTAAATGAGCTATTTATAAGGCTGAAGTGCGGTGAATTAAGTGCAGAGAATTATGCCACCGAAGATGAACGTGCAATCACAGAGGATGAAATCGCTGATGCAGAGGAGGCCTACATCAACGAGGTGTTGGACAGCGCATGGCCAACGATACACGAACTTCTCGGAAAATACGAACAGGCGAAGCTTAGTCCACCGGAACCTACCAAGGACTAGACCCCCTTCTTCTCGTCCTTGGGAAGATAAGTCCACCACACGTATGGCGAAGTTGAGATTTCCAACCTTCTCTGGCGACCTGCGTGATTACAGACATTTCAAGGAGCTTTTCACAAATTTTTCCAGGCACCTAGAGGAAACTGAACTCTTTTACCAGCTTGTTGAATCGATGGAGAGGAAAATCGAAAGAAACAAGATAAAGTCTTGCATTGATACCCAAAGAGCGTGGGAAATCTTGGATGAAACATATTGTGATGACGACCGACTCATAGACGTGCTGCTTAATGACCTAGAAAAGATGAATTCTTACGACTCCAAGGGCAAAGTGGACATCAAGGCCATGGACAACTTTGTGGAATCACTCCAGACCTTCGCTACCCAAGTCGAAACCGTTGGCTTGAAAAAGGATCTGAATGGCAGGATGTTATTGACGCAAGTTCGTCGTAAGCTACTGGAGCAGCATCGCATCCAATACCTCCAGAGTGTCGCTGATGACAAGGCAACAGAGTCCATACCCGGTCTCGTTAGATGGTTACATTCTCTGTTAGTGCTTCTGCAGAAAGCCAAGAATCCTGCTGAGCACCAACAGTCCCAACCTGCAAGTACACCGAACAAGAATCGCAAATCGACCAGTCATTCTACGATGTCCCCCAGAGAGGGCAAAGACGCTGGTGAGAAGAAGGACTGGTACGCAGAGGAAAAGCACCTATCACCTACCGCCGAAATGCCCACTGCATCCTCAGACCTCGAATCACTTCTTGAAAGGCTGTCATAAATTCTGTACGCTCCCGCAAAGTAAGAAATTCGACATCATGAACGCTAATAATATCTGCCATTGCTGTGGTCATAATAATTGCATCTCAGGAAAATGCCCAACCACGATGACTGTCAACTTGCCACAAACTGTCAAATACCCACGTGCGGTATGAACACTCATTTCTCCTCGGTCTGCTTGAATGTTTACGGCCTAGATGGGTATCGTCACTTTGATAAGAAGCTCCTCTCTTCTGGTGCAGGGAATAGCAAGGGTCTGAACGTCAATAGGCGGGAATTCCAATCAGCAGTACAAAGGAACTCTAACCCCACGCTCGCAGTAGGAAGCAACATGCGAGGTAACGACCGAATCACATGTGCACTGCCGACCGTCATGGGCTACATACGTTATGGTACGAAGAAGACGATGGTACGAATTCTACTCGACACAGGCAGCCAGATATCGCTTTTACGTGAAGGAATCGTTCCAAAGTCTCACTGCGGTCAGATGCAAGACTTCAGTCTCACCACAGTTGGAGGTGACACCCTCGCCTGCAAGCTTCGTGTGGTAGATTGTACGCTAGCGAGTTTAGATGGTTCGTTCCAATGTGATGTTCGTCTTACTGAGATGAAGAGACCATGCGGCGACGCCCCCATCATCGGTAATGCTCAAATCCGACAGTACCTTCACCTTGATGATATCAGTATCGTTGAAGCTCCAGACAAGACGATCGACATTCTGCTAGGCATCGAGAACGGAGACATACTAACAGCAGATGAACGTATCCTGGGTCCCACAGCCAACGATCCCGTTGTTGTCAGATGTCCATTGGGATGGTATGTCCAAGGTGGTCATAGCTCGAGTGAAGTTCTTTGCAACGCTACCGTACACTTCACTCAGGTGACAGCCATCAGCGAGATAGAAGATTTCCTGGGAATCGACCGTGTAGGTATCGAGCCGAGACGTTGTAAGTGTACCATGGAAGACCAAGATAAGATAGCAAACGACTCAATGCAGCAAAGCGTAACCAGGCTAGAGGATGGAACCTACCAGATCAGTCTACCGTGGAGGAAATCACCTCAGGGTTTACCGAACAATCACGATTATGCTGTGAAACGTTTCTTAAACTTGGAGAAACAGTTCAAGAACAAACCACGTCAATGGGAAGTCTATTGCAAGCAGATGGAGGACCAAGTCAAACGCGGCGTAGCACGGGTTGTATCGGCAGATGAAATGGCCAACGACGCCAAAGCTAGTCGCAAAATGTGGTTTCTTCCACACTTCGGAGTACTTAAAGACTCACAGACTACACCAGTTCGTGTTGTGTATGATGGAAAGGCAACCTACCAAGGACACTCACTCAACGACTACCTCGCTAAAGGAAACAACATGAACTCAAATCTATTCGAGGTTGCACTACGTTTTAGAGAATATGAAGTTGGGGTGATCGCCGACATTAGCAAGATGTTCCAAGCCGTGAAAGTCCACCCAGATGACGCTAGGTTTCACCGATACATATTCCGTGAACGACCAGAGGATCCGATCCGAGTTTACGAGTTAACCACAGTTACCTTCGGGGATAAGCCATCTCCAGCTGCAGCTATCATTGCTCTTCGCCACGTCGCTAAGGAAAACGCACCCAATTATCAACGACTACCTCGCTAAAGGAAACAGCATGAACTCAAATCTATTCGAGGTTGCACTACGTTTTAGAGAATATGAAGTTGGGGTGATCGCCGACATTAGCAAGATGTTCCAAGCCGTGAAAGGCCACCCAGATGACGTTAGGTTTTACCGATACGTATTCCGTGAACGACCAGTGGATCCGATCCAAGTTTACGAGTTAACCACAGTTACCTTTGGGGATAAGCCATCTCCAGCTGCAGCTATCATTGCTCTTCGCCACGTCGCTAAGGAAAACGCACCCAATGATCCTGATGTCCAACGTGTCATTGCGGACCAGTTCTACGTTGACGATTTGACTGACTCTGAGCGGACCGTGGAGAAGACAAGACGACTGCAGGAGAATCTTACCGCTACTCTAGGGAGTGGAGGGTTCAGAATCCGAAAGTGGCTTTCGAACAAGGGAGAAATCTGTGACAAAGAGTACTACCCTGCTGATGGTAACACGACAGTACTGGGAACGAAGTGGAATTTGACGGACGACACGTTGCAAGCCAAAGAAGTTACGTTCGATGACTTTATGCCAACAAAACGGAATATTCTGAAGAAAACTGCTTCGTACTACGACATCTTTGGAATGTTATCCGGGATCCTCGTGCGACCAAAGATACTGCTTCAGAAACTTTGGACATTTGATAACATCGATTGGGACACTCCTATTCACTCAGACAGTGATATCCACATTATGTTGGAAGCTGTGAAGGAAGACCTAAAGGACGTTAACACTACCAAGATAGAACGTTGCCTAATCCCAGAGAAGTTTCGCGGTAAATCACCAATGCCCAGTGTTTCACTCCATGGAGCCAGTGACGCCTCTGATGACGCCATGGGGATGGGAATGGGAATATGGCTGAGATGGTCCGAAGCAGAAGACGACGATGCAGAACTGACGTTTCTCTGCGCTCGAGCACGACTAACTCCATTGAAACAGCTAAGCATACCTCGTAAGGAGCTCCAAGCCATTCTACTCTTATCTCGATTGATGACCACAGTGGAGAATGCACTACGACTGGAGATTGCCTATAGGAGGATATGGACAGACAGCATGACGGCTATCAGCTGGCTAAGGGGACAATCGAAATCCTTTCGCTCATACGTTGCCTGCCGTGTTGGTGAGATAACTGCAGACTTCGACCCCAACGATGATATCTCATACGTGCCCACTGACCAGAATACCATAGATCTCGTCTCACGCGGAGTTAACGCCACTGAAATGCAGAAAGTTATTGATGGACCGACATTCCTGAAAAAACCACCAGCTTATTGGCCCGAGACTCCCAAGAATGTTCCAGTAGACAGGGAAGATACCGAGCTGAAGAAGTTTCACGTCCGGAATGCCAAGGTTCTTACGCTACAGCTGTCCAAGGCTGAACCCGTTGTTGACCCAAAGAAGTTCTCCAGCTGGTCTCGTCTAGTTATGGTGACTGCACGTATACTGTCGCTGAAAGATTGCCCAAGAGCCAGTGGATGAAGGAGCTCCCCACCAAGATTTCGCAATGGCTGTCTCGTAAAAGGATCAAGGAAGCAAAGATCTACTGGATTCGCCACGCCCAAAAGGAGATCGATTTTAGCGATAACCACATCATGAAACTACAACCGTTCCTGGACGAGCAAGGGGTCTACAGAGTCGGAGGTCGCCTCCACAATGCACCGCTTTTCTACGACATTCGACACCCATACCTTCTTCCAAAGAAGAGCGGTATTGGTCTACTCATAGTACAGGAGAGACACTGACACGCACTACATGGAGGGCATCTGAGAACGGCCGTGGAAGTTAGAAAGTCCTACTGGATAGTTGGTGACATTTACCTGTGTAGACGGGTTGTTCACGAATGTACGATCTGCAGACGATACCGTGGGAAGCCGCTACATCAACGAATGGCTGACCTACCAGTCTTCCGAGTGATGCCCTTTAAGCCTGCATTCAGTACAACGGTATTAGATTACCAGGAAAGGATGGTGCAGGAAGTGAAGAAGTCGATGGGACACATGGTTAAGGCAGAGAAGCTCACGTTTGTAGAATGGGAGACTGTCTTCTCCCAGATCTCTGGACTCCTGAACAGCCGACCTATCTCCACAGTGTCTTCATCACCGTTAGACGAGCCGCCTATCACCCCCAATCACTTCCTGATTGGGAGGGGTAGTCTCCCGAGCCCACAAGTACCTTGCGAGGAGTATGTGGGAAACACCCAGAAACGTCGTGAACTATGCAATACGATGGTCGATGGTTTCTGGCGACGTTGGATGACGAGCATCCATAAGCTATCTCCACGCCAAAAATGGAGTAAAGCTGAAGACAACCTGACCGAAGGAGACATCGTTCTAGTCGTCGATGACAAAGTAAAACGTGGACATTGGAAAAGTGCCGTGATCGTCCAAGTCTACGTCGGTGACAACGATTTTGTTCGAGTTATTGACGTGAAATACGCTGATGGAACCGTCTTCAAACGACCAGTAACGAAACTCATCCTCTTGATGAAGAAGTCCGAGAGACTCGACGTTTAGGATTTGAATGGCAAGAGTGCCAATAGACTATTGGACTGTTTTGTGTGTGTATTGAGTATCATTCACCTCAGGACTGTGTATGTTGTGTTGGTTCATGTTATGGACTTTTAGTGTTTCTTATGGACTGTTGTTAATTTACGTTTTGGAACAAGGACACTTACTTGTGTTAAGGACTGTCGTTTCGTTTGCGCTTGTACAGCGGGACTTGTGATCATCGCGTACATAAGGACTAAACATTCGTTGTTCGGAAAGGACTACCGGTGATTCATTATTCGTAAAAGATTATCATTTAGCTCGAGTAATTTGGCTCAGAGGACTGTTTGAACTTTGTCTTTGGACAATCAGGACAATCGCGCTCACTCATTGTTCGACAATCGCGCATACTCGTTACTCGCGTTCTAATCTAAGTTGTGAGAATGTTATTGCGTTTTGTGAAAGTTACTAAGTTGTCACGTGGATTGAGATACTATAGTCTGCGCTTTCGACATCCCTGTCGAATGATATCCCCCGGGATGTTGCGGCATTCCACCGGAGTACGCATTTTCTTTTCGGTATCGCCCGCTAGGGGCGCTTATGTTTTTGTAATCAATGCAAATGGCAGCGTGTTCATGGCAATGTGAATCTTCCACGATTGAATAATATATCAGACTGTTTCACGAGTACACACGTCTTCATTATTCAGTGTGTTCAAATGATTAAAAGTAAGCACCGTCACAAGGTCCATATCACATTAGAGGAAATCCCAACTCAAAAATGCATTTAGATGCAGTTCAGTATAAGGTGGTGCATTTTGTAATGGTCACCCTATAAGTCATGCAAGTTTGCTAGGAAAAACATTCATAATGATTTCGTATACATTTGTTTTATTGAGAGAGTAAAGAATTAGGAGGTAAAACAATTCTTAGCATGAAAGCAGATTCAAAGTATCAAGAGCTAATAATACCTAGAGTGTACAACGGAAAAACGGGAAAATAGTGCTATTTCACGACATGATTATTCTACTTTGCCTGCGAGTCTAGAATAATTTTATGGTATTGCATTAAGCAGAATTCTTTGCTCTCTAAAACAAGACCAACTGCTTGTCAATACGATACTCCTAGGCGGAGATATCGGCTCCTAAACCTCCCCTCCCACATGTCTCACGGCGAAATCCAACTC